ATGCTAAGTGCAGGAGTCTTCCGTAAGGGTTTGATTTCCGTACTGCTAATAAGTGAAAATGCTTGTATGTATGTGTGTGGTGCGGTCTGGCTTGCTATTTTCCCCATGTGATAGGCGACTTCCTTGCTATTAAGCTATAGAAGCCCAAAGAGAGTTTTTTTGGTAAATGATATAGATAAGTGTGGGCATATTTGGGGGAATCTCCCAGATTTCACTTTATGAATGTGCATGTTGAATCAGCTATGCAAGCCTAGAATGAGAACCCCACATATATTTGTGGCTGCATAAGGATGCATTTAATATATTAATAAATATTAATAGTATATATTTGTTAGCTGTAATAACCAAAGACAGATTTGACATTTAGTTGGAGGCATCTGAACTCTCCGTATCTACTTACACATACTGGCCTGAAGTGGGTTTCCTGCTCCCGCTCCCTCTAGCCACCTGCAGGAGCTCAGAATCCTGGGGAGTAAGCTGGTAGGATGTGGGGTGGGCAATACCTTGGGAAGGACTCCCTAACAAGCCCAAGCGGGTAAGGAGACAGAAGAAATGAGGACTGAGGTGGAGGCAGGGCTGGCAGAAGGTGAGTGTGAGGGCTGGGAGAAGGGGAGCCAGGCCAAGACCTCACCAGGTCAGGTGGGGAAAAGAATATCTGGGCCAGATTGGGGTGGGGCAGCCTGACCCAGGTGCTGGCCTGGAAGAGAGGTTGGGGGTGGGGCTGGAAGGCTTTCAGTGCCTTCAGCTCCCCTACCCCCCGCCTGAGAGTCACAGAGCTTTGGCCCTCCCCTGGGGGCAGTCTGGGGCCGTGGTGCAGACTTCTATGTAGGTCAGCATTCAGCATTGGTTTCCCTTTGCCCTCTTCTTGCTTTCACCCCCCACCACCAATAATTACAAAAAAGAAAACCCTCACGCACTCCAAACCACTATCAACCAAACAGCAGCCTTCCCCTCCTCAAAGTCTCAAGTTCCTCTTCCAACCAAACCAGCCAGTCCTCACACGAAGAGGGTTCCGGACAGGCGTGGGCAGGGGATCTCAACCAACTGTGGGCATTTGGGAATCTCCTCCAAGAGATGGTGCACCTCCAGGGAATTCCTGTCCCCTCACCCACCTGATGGCAGGGGGCAGGGCATCCAGGGACCCCCTCCCCAGGCACCTGGGCTGAGGGTGGGAGGCCTGAGCATCTGAGGAGGGAAGGCAGCCAGGGCCCAGGCGGAGGATCAGCCCCTTTGGACATCAGCTGTGGCCCAGTGTAATTCCTGCCTTAGGGTGAGCCCTAATTTGGAAGTGGGGACCCTCTCTTGCATCCCAAAGGTGGTGAGAGACAGGTTGAGAATCTCCCGCCTTCAGTCTCCCTCTCACAAGGGCTTTATTTTTTCTCTTCCCCTCCTCATTCCCTTAATTGCAGATGTTCTAATTAAACCCTCAAATAGTTGTTATGCCGTTTTAAAAGGTACTTATTCAAGTGTCAACCAGGCTGGGCTGGGAGGAGGCAGCGTAGGGCGGCGAATTAAAGGTAGATTGACTAATCACGGCGGCGATCATAATAATAAAATCAGAGGGGGAAAAATCACATTACGACTTTTCGTGGAAAGGAGGGAGCAGGCAGCCAGCGGCCGCCAGCCCTGCGCCGCCGCCGACACAAAGAGTGCGGGCGATTCCGCGAGACTGATTTATGACGTTTTACAGCCCTATAAAAGCTGTAGCGACGAGGCAAGCGCTCCTACCACCGCTGGCAGATTTAGTCTAATAAATAAAACATAAACAGTTAACTTTATGTGTCACTTTTATTGTTATCAAGTAAAATATAGCTGAGCCCCGGCAAGCTATGATTTTAAACTATAATTGTTATCAAGTACAACAAGGGGACCCGGCTCCCTCCCTGGGCTCTCCCTTCTGCCACCCCCCCCCCACTCTGTGTTATGGGATCAGTTAATTGGAATTGGTGGCAGGACGTGGCCACCCCTATCTGGGGGGCGGGGGGGGGTGAAAAGCAACCCTTCTTGCCCCCTCCCCCCTCCATGGCCCTGCCACCCTGGACACAAGGGAATTCCTGTGGGTTGGTGGCAGAGAAAGGGGAGGGGGCAGAAATGGATGGGAGACATCTCCCCCCCTTAGGTGTGCCCAGCCTACCCAGCTTGGTGAGCTCACCCCTCAGCTTTTGGAAGGCAGCCTGGATATGGCCTTTGGGAATGTGTGTTTACATGTAAACACATGTGTTACATGGATACAATCCCTGGCCCCAAGCAAGCCCTATCCACACAGGCCTGCCTCCCTCTTAGCTAGGTCTGCCCTCTGTGGGGATGGAGAAGGAAGAGCGCCCAGGGCCCTGGCGGGACGCAGCTCAGGCGGTGCTGGCTCCTGGCAGATCTCTCTCCTCCTTGCCCCAGCTCCTCAGGAAGCAGCTTGCAGGCAGCGGTCAGAAAGCAGCAGGCCAGACCGAATGGAGGGTGGGAATAGCAAGCGGCAGTAGAAGAGGTCCTAGGTTCCTGGGCTGGGACAGGGAGGCTCAGTGGGTGCTCGGGAGGGCAAGGCTTCTGAACTCTGCTTTTGCCAACCACTTCCTGTCTCTCTTCAGCGGGGGCTCAACCCCCAGACCTCCAGAAATGACGTCAGAATCATTTGCATCCCACTGCCTCTACCTGCCCGGTCGGTCCAGATGGGACCCTGCCTCGCCGACCCCTTGGCCAGAGGGTTGGGTGAGTGTGCATACACGGGGAGGGGGCTGGACTCTGGTATGCTTGGATGGGGGGCACCCCAGGCTCTTCAGCCTCCTGGGCTCAGCCTGGGCTCCTCCCCATCCAACCTCCACTCCAGTCCTCATTCAACTTCCTCTTCCTGCGAAAGAGGGGCGCTGCCCGGTGACCTCCACAGACAGACAGGATCGCCATGCATGGAAACCTTTGGAGAAGCTCGGGAGCTGAGGCCCAAGGGGCCCATCGGCAGCCCAAGGGGAGACTTCAGGAGGGGGCTGAGTCACAGCCTCCCGACAGCCCCTCAATGCCCAGGCTTGGGAGGAACGCTGGGGGCGTCCTCTCCTTTCACAGGGGAGGGCTGTCAGTCTGTGGGGTGTGCACTGAGACACCCCAGCCCCTGCCAGCTAACCCCACATCGGCACCACCACCACCCCAGCAGCAGCACCACCACCACCACACACACAAAAAAATTGGATACATTTTGAATAAAGCGATTCGGTTCCTTATCCGGGGACTGGGTTGCTCCGTGTGATTGGCCGGCGGAGTCACATGGTGAAAGTAACTTTACAGGGTCGCTAGCTAGTAGGAGGGCTTTATGGAGCAGAAAAACGACAAAGCGAGAAAAATTATTTTCCACTCCAGAAATTAATGATCATGAGCTCGTATTTGATGGACTCTAACTACATCGATCCGAAATTTCCTCCATGCGAAGAATATTCGCAAAATAGCTACATCCCTGAACACAGTCCGGAATATTACGGCCGGACCAGGGAATCGGGATTCCAGCATCACCACCAGGAGCTGTACCCACCACCGCCTCCGCGCCCTAGCTACCCCGAGCGCCAGTATAGCTGCACCAGCCTCCAGGGGCCGGGCAATTCGAGAGGCCACGGGCCGGCCCAGGCGGGCCACCACCACCCCGAGAAATCACAGCCGCTCTGCGAGCCGGCGCCTCTCTCAGGCGCCTCCGCCTCCCCGTCCCCAGCCCCGCCAGCCTGCAGCCAGCCAGCCCCTGACCATCCCTCCAGCAACGCCAGCAAGCAACCCATAGTCTACCCATGGATGAAAAAAATCCACGTTAGCACGGGTAGGCAACTTT